TAAATCTGTGCTGGCCCGATACCAGCACGGTGCCCAGCCCCGTGAGGCTGTGGTTCCAGTGTCAAACTCGGGAGCTGAACTACATGAACTTTGGAAAATTGCACAGCGTGACACAGCGGTAACCTTCCTTACAGCCTTAAGCTATATTCTTTTAAAAGCACTAACTTGTACTTGGTAGTAACAAAGTAAGGTACAGTGACCAAGATTAGAAATCCCCACCTTTAGGATAAACCAATAAGCATCATTTTTTCACCTGCAGCTGCATAATAGAAAAGAATCCCCTTGTATCCTCTACCACGCTACTAAAGTATAATGATTAAAATTTGGCTTGCTGCTATCTAGTGAACCTAGGCATGTGACCTGGCATTAATAATAATATTGATTATGATCTACATCTGAGAGTGGGTGAGGAAATGTTTAGAGCTCCAACAGGCAAAACAACATAAAGCACTGCTTGGGATATTCTTCATTTGCCTACATAAAACATACCCGTGTTCAAATAACCAAAGTCTACTCAACTGTTCTAATAAAACTAGCTAAAAGAAAGTTGGCATAGCCAAGGCACTCTGCTCTCTGGAACGCCCCAAACAGTCAGTTTTGCTCTCCCTTTTTGCTCCTGTACATGGCTGGATTAAAACAGACATGAGGATCTATAAAGATCTATTTACTAGATATTTCTGAAATGCTTAATAATATTGAGAAAAATATGTAATAACTAACTGAATTATTCCCTGATTTTACCCTTGAAGATCTAATTCTTTGTAGAAAAATGATTAAAACACTTCAAGTATGTTTCAGTATAGCTACTACATAAAAAATGGCAAAGATGGTGCCACTGGTGGATATAAATATTTAATTAGTGACATCAGAGGACTATTATCGATGAACTAGAGCACTGGACTAACTATAATGAGGCTTCTTTCTAATCCCAGACCAGACATCAATTTGCTATGTGGCTTGCAGATGATCGTGGAGGCAAATAATTCCTCTAAGCTGTCATTCTCCTTTCTGTCCACTTTACATATTTATTTTGCAGTTTTTTTTAATAGCAGGAATTCTCTCTTTATATGCCTAAAACCCCACACTAGCTCTGCACCCTTGAATGAGTAGTCTGGGTGCTAACTGCAATTAAAAGTAACATGATAAAAGTAATATCCAGCCTATCTCAAAACCGATCAAAATCTTTGGTAGTTCTGAAATATTCTGAGAAACTTTACAGCTAAGCCAGGAAGAGGCAGCCTGTAGCAGGGGAAAATAAAAGCATGTAAATTATTTCAGACAAAACCACTGTCACCCATCTTTGCTCAAATTCACTCCCATGATTTCTATGCAATTCCTGGGCCAATGAACTATGAATCTGTTTTTGTTGACCTTTTTTTAGACATCTGACTTAGCATCTTGGCTAGCCTCTCCAAAATGGATATTTCTTTGTAAACCACAGCATGCTGCAGCCAAAACAAAGCTAAATCTTCTCCTGCCATTAAACTTTATCACATCCCTTTTAAGCAGCTTCAGTTCAGCACTCATTTTTGTTGCCTTTGCATTCCCCAGATTTAAGCCACTCCAAATCTCACCACTTCCTCCCTAGCACCGTCACCACTGTCAGTCAGACAACCTTTGATTCTCCAGAGAGGTTCCCCACTCAGCACTTGCAAAGACTAAATGAAAAAGCAAATATACCCTATTTAGAATGACTTTGCAAAACATACACTGCCCAAACACCTCAGTTTTTATCTACCCATTGCCACTATGAAAGCTTGCGTTCTATTTGTTCCACAGCCCCTAGTTTCTGAGTACATGTAACTGCTACCTCAAACATGGGACTGGAAGGCAGTACATAGCTCCTTCCAATATCCCCCAGTAAATCCTCAGTAAAATTCCCTTTCCTCCTCTCCCATGACAGGAAGGAAAGCACAGCTCTGCAGAAGGGTAGAGGTGAAAGCAGAGCAGTGACTCCTTAGCTCTCCAGGAGTCTTATCACTCTGTCCACACACCAGGACAATCAAAACCTCTGCTCCTCATACAACCAGCCTGCCCCAGACTGGAAGACATAGGAATGTCTTCCTATTCAAACATTTGGGTGTCCTTCCCCACATTAGATAAAACACCCTCCAGAAGCCTAACTTCTTTGTAAGCACTCAGTCCTTTGATCTCAAGCAGCTGGTACACAGCTGCTCTCCATTACATTTACAGATCTCAAGAACCCTTCACATTTTCTTGTCCTTCCTCACACACAGGCACAGAGTGAGAACACCAGCTGCCATCTATCGTTCACATGCAAAACTTCCTTATTGCCTCATCTACCCTGCTCAATTCTTCCTTGAATTACTGCCCACCTGGTCCATTCCCAGCCCTTTCCTCTATCCATTCCCCAAAGCAATGACTTTCCCTTCAGCAAGGGACTAGTCCAGGGAGCCTCCCGAGGAAGACCCACATCCTCTGCACAACATTGAGCTGTCCCTGCACACGGCAGGGCACAGGCTGCTGGCCCCCAGCCTCCTCTGCTGGGCTCGCAGCAACGTGCACGTGGCCAAGTCCACCCCCAGCAAGGCCCAGCAAGCACAGAAAGCCCTGCGTCCCGAGGGGAAGGCAGCCCCTGGGATCCTGCCAGGAAAGCAGGGAGGTGGTTAATGGCACACGCGCTCACAGGGTCTAAGAGTAGACCAGCAGCAGTGGTGAGTAAGAGGACAACATCTTCACTGACTAAGCCTTTAGGAATTAAGAAAACCATCAAAACAAGAGCCAGTAAAAATACTCAGCAACTCAAACTTAAGATGCAGAATTCAGGGCTAATATGGTAGTTTCATTCCTTCTTTAGCTGCAAAACCCATCCAATCAACCACCTGAAGACTAAGGAGTGCAGGAAACTGTGTGCCCAAATGACTCTCTGCTACTACAGTGAGCTTTGAGAAGTATTTATACAGTTCTTCACTTACACACATCAGAGACAGAAGAAACTGTTGACCAACCTGATGAGATATCCACAGAAGACTCATCTCAATAGTCACAAGCCAAGGAAAGCCAAGAGAGCTGAAATACCTGCTTCTGAGTTTCTTTCTTTCCTGAGTTTTCTCAATGAGACTATCTCAGCGTATTCACTTGCACTTCTGCACCGGCTACCTCATCAACTATCCTCAGGTGCTCCGTAACTGGAACCCTCTTAAAAAAATGATTTCACCTGGTCATACTGCAGTGTTTGAGAACAAAAGCAGCTGTACTCTTGCTGGGCGTATTATGAAGCATATGCATAAAACTTGAGGCCTTTCTCTCAGTTAACATGGAAAATAACCCACTGATCTAAGATTTTCAGTTTTGGAATGTAATTTTTTTTTTTTTACAGCAACGTGCATTATTCATCATGGTGGTAAAACCTGCTTCTTTTTTTTTTTTAGTCTTTTTTTCAGAACAAGTGAACATTCCCATCACTGCTTGAGGAGGAAAAAAAAATCCTGTTCTATTAGAATATGCCAAAAAGATGATAAATAAGCACTTTCTATTATCCAACTCTGCATGAAGATTTAATTTTAAACTTTTTATTATTATGTTATTATTTTGCTGCAGGTTTAATTTCAAGGAAAACCCAAGCTTCTAAGAGGCTTCTTAATCAAGAGTAAAAAGGAAAATAGATCTGTTCACCAAAACCTCCTTTGTAAAAGTTGAAATGTGGCATAATCTCTCACTTTCAAAGCAGACATTAGCCAGCAAATGAAGCAATTTGCACTGATGCAGAGTAATGAAACTTGCAGTAATGTGTGAGCTACCCATGTTAAATACTTTTAGCCAAGGGTTAAGCCAAAAATTTTCTAATTCTTTTCCTCTGCTCAACTTGTGATCTTGTGTGTGACTGCAGATCTGCATGCGTGACAATATGGCACTTTCAGTAACTCATTAGAAACAGTGTCACGTGGTTTGAAAGACACATGTTTGAAAAACAATGTAATTATTTAGAAAATTGTTGCTTTGTCAGAATTGTGTGCTTCTGAAAACACAACCGAACTTAAGCACAAGGATTATATTTACTGGAGGTGCATGACAAACAAGATACCGTCAGGTAAATCACAGAGGGTGATTCTCCTCACTTAATAGAAGCAATAACTAACTTCTTCCAAAAGGGCACCTTCATTTTCTGTGCTGCTTATTTTGATGGTAAACGTTAATGTTTCTTCTACAGCTGCTCCACCCTACCTTCTGCTACTAATCTCTTCACCTACCAAGCGGACTGTTTCTACTGTAGTACTGCATTGGTACTTTAATGATACATCCCTCTCACGATACATACCCTCTCTACAAAAATGATTCCATGAATCTCAGCAGAAGTTAAACCGATTTCTTTAGAACTGCCTCTGACCTGAGGAAGTCTTAGCTCCACGAGTTGCCCTGCAAGCAAGAATCACAAGCTGCTTTTAAAAGTAGAGATATGGGGTGTATGTGTCTGTGGTGCTTAAAAAGCAAGGAAGACCTTTTATTGTTTTTTTTCTTAAAAAAAAAAAAACCTTACTGTAAAAAAAAAAGTTTCTTCATGGTAATATTGATCTACAAAAACAAAGCAGATCTGTCACCTTTGTTTTTCCCATGCTCCAGAGGTGCTCCACTCTTATATACCTCCTCCTCACTTCCCCTCTCCTCCTTTACTCTACTGGCTAGGCTGAAATATCTTAAACAATACTTTGAAGTTTTTATGGATATTTAAAGCATGAAAACATTAAGTCACCAAATGAGCTTTTCTCCCAAGTATTTCAGCGAACAATCTGGAAACATTAGAAACATTACTTTCAAATTCTAAAATGACACCTGAATAAAAAGAAATACCACCTATGCTCAATTCCTGAGCAGTTAAACTCACAAAAAAAAAAAAAATCTTCTTAAGAGCTAAAACTGTCTTTTAGAGGACATTGCATGGCCATTGAGAAACAAACAAACCAACCAACCCCATTTATTTCATTGTAGGTCACCTTTAAGAAGCTATAAATAACGGGAAAAACACACATACATCCTCTTAAAACTTATGATCCAATTATTTTTATAGCAAGTATCTTATTAGGCTTCTATACAATAACATGGAATTATTAGAATGATTTTTCTGTAGACAGAGCTTCACGGAGGACAATCATCATTCGTTCCTACAGCCATCTGAAGCCAATAGTCCAGGTTTCTAAAAACAACAAAGTTGTACAAGTTTTCTCCTCCTTTGTGAAAACCATGTTCACTTTCCCTCCAGGAAACAGGGCTGTCTGCAAAGCCATGCACAGTTAAGGTCAGCCAATGTGCCAGTTTTGGTTCATCAAAATAGCAGCTGCAAGACAGAAAACAAGTTAATAACTATAACAGAATAAAAAGCATGTTCAACAGAGTAGAAAATCAAAGACACAGGCACCTAGTGAAAATCTTTAATTAAAGGAGTTAAAGATTTAAGCTGTGGAAGATGCCTGCTAAAGCCATTACATACTTCATACTTTTGGCCAGTAAAGCATCTAGCATCAAAGAACTTCAAACTGCAATATTTTAAAAGATACAACTGAAAAGGCACTGTTCTTTAACAGATGCTCTGGGATTAATACAGAGTAAGAATATTTGTAAAGCTAAAGTACTATCTAGCCTATCCACTTTCAATATTTTTGCAGTGTTTTAGTACATAATAAATTGAAAAGAAAATATTCTACCAGGAGATATGAGGAAATGAAGCACAATTGACTCTTTAGCGGGAACACTGCTAATATTTTTTGACAGATAAAACTGCAAGTTTTAGCTTCTTTTCACACAGAGCCAGGAACTTCCAGAATTTGCTATCTGTGGAGCAGCATGAACATACAACATGGGTAGATATCACTATGATCTACAGCGCACCAGTACCACGTAGTTTGATAACCAGTTGGAACCAAGATACAGGGCGCTGAATAGTGATGAACAGGGTTAGACCACTTGACACAAAAAAATACCATTACAAATTATCACAACACCGCAATGACCAAGCAAAATGCTTTTTGATGCCATGAAGAACTCCAATCATACTGCTCATCAACAGTTAAAAGTGTAAGTCAAGCAGGTTTCAGGGTGCCTGACTTTCACAGACAATGGAATTTGAAAGATGTGTAAGTGCAGTGAAGCCACTGGTTCTTAGAAATTAAGATAAAAGCAAAGTCAGAACTAGAATATGGGACAGGCATTGTCAAATTTGATATATCCAAAATTATTTCTTTTTATACCATTGCTAAGCTTCCTATTTGTTTCCTAAATAAAAAGTGTCATCATTTTATGTATTTATTTTGTTACTTACCTCCAACAGCACTACTGAAAACTAAATAGTTGGAAACAATTCTGAGAAGTAAATACTTTTTATAAAGTATAATTTTTTAAATCATATACTCCATCAAACCTTACCAAAGTTTCTCCAACAACTCAATTATCGTCTCAGGAATTATGAACCCTGTGATTGTACACAAAAATGCTTTTTCCAATATTGTACTGGGCTGAGGACAGCAGTAGGTTGATAGAAAACTAGAGGATTTGTTGTCTCTGGAAAAAAAAAAAAAAAGATAACCTAAAATATGTTCATTTCAGCTTTTTCTACAGAAAGTCTTCCTAACACTATCTAGTACTAAACAACAATATCTGTGTATATCATCTAAATTAATACCCAAGCAATCCAAATGTCATGAGTATCTCCAAAAATGCAGATAATTTATTCAAGACTATTAAACAAGTATGTAAGTGCTTCTGAAGCATCCCACTTATAAAAATACAACTTTTCTTGCCCTTTTTTTTTTTTTTAATGTGGCTTTCCTTACTTAAAGTATCTTTAAGATCAAACAAATTCAGCTACTTACAAGCTAACTTGATTGAGGACAGCCCCTAACCATTCAAACAGTTCCTCTGTACTGCAGGACTCTTCTGGCTTTCCTTGTAGTTCGTTGCTTTGTAACACCGGACACTGCAAGTCTCTCAATGTGCTGAATGTTATTTTTGGCTTCAGAGACCGTATTTGGCTTTTGGGAAAGTATGACATCAATGTTGATCCCTCTGTACCTTAACAACACAACACCACAAAGAGCTGTTACAAAACTACAGAACAAAGGGGGCACTGAATACATGCAACATTTATATGTGCATGTGTTATGAAAATAGAGTGCAGTGTTAAACTGCAAGACTGCTTACATTCTGTTATCTCTATTTTGCAAAAGTCATAGAATTATTATTTTCTTTATTTTCCTGGAAGTGAGAATTAAGAAGCAAGTCAAGATCCAGACACTTAGTATACATCTCAGTTAAAGTCCTATTTAACTTGGATGTAAAAAGCAGGTCTGTCATTTGAAAACTGAAGCAATTTAACTGGGCAAGTTTTTTTTTTTTTTTTAGACCTCCTTAGAAAAAAGAATTTAGAGTATTTCTGAAAAAATAGCACATGAAAGGAAAACTACTTGCCTGTCAGCTTCTCCCCAGGAAGAGTGGTCTGCATATAACACTCTTAATCTGACCATGCATATGTCCAAATAACCTTTGTCTTAGCCGTGCCCACATGCACCTTCCCTCCCCACTCTAGCCCCGCTGCTGCTGCTGGAGGAGGGTGATGTATGCCTCATGCCATCATCTCTACCTGGCATCTCTGGAAATTCCTCAAGTGTTTCAGTTTGAAGGAATGTATTTAAGACTAAGTAGAGGGAAGTTAAGTTCAAATGAACTGAGGCCAAAAAGTTTCTCCTCGCAAAGCACTCGAGTACCTGGAAGGATCCCAGGATCACTAGTTTAACAGGAATTGCCTACTAGAGGCACATCTATAAGTACGATCAGTTCTGATGGAATCATTGCTGTAGCCCAGCATGTTTCAGGAATACTCTGCAACGAGTTGCTAGTGTCACTGAATTTCTCCTGCAATGTGCCTTCATGACCATGGGACGTTTTTCCTTTTCACTGTCTGAAAATACACTCAGTCTGTTGTGTAACAGGTCAAGTCACTGGATCTCTTAGTTCTCTCAGCTGAGGACAAGAACATGTAAAAATCATTCTGAAGCATCTTATCGCATCACCTAAAGACTGTGACAGGAAGCTTCAATTTAGGAAGGAATGGCAGAAAAATTCTGGGTTTGCATTAAATCCAGGAATCATCTTCAAATAAGGTGTATTTGGAAGGCAATATTATCTCAGAAGAATATCCAACTGGATATAGAAAAATATCCATCAAGACAAGAAACTCTTCTAATCACTCCACTGAGGTGTCTACTACCCCAGGGCAAACACCTTGCAAATTAAGAGATATTAACCAAATACCTTTTTGAAGCAATAAGGCAACTAACGTAAAATTGATTATCTGGAGTATTGAATCCAGGAGAAAAGGGCTGAGCCCACCCTATCTAGTGGTCCTTCACAAAAGGCTGTTGAGTCGCAGAAGGGTGCGGTGACAAAGAGATGCAGTCACTGAACTCTTGCTCATTTCTTTTCTGTTTTGAAGTCTGACAAATCCTAAAACAAGCGATCCTCCTTCAGACTGCTTCCTATAGGCATCTGGTATACTTACAGGTTCATGGAGCGTGTAGTATTCCCCAGAATTCTTAGTCAAATATAAAAATTTATACGTAAACAACAAATCTCCATCCAAATGGGCCTCGGCTACAGTCTGAACTTCAGGAAATCCCAAAGGCTACAGTCAACACTTCAGAACAACAATTCCTCTAGCTATGGCATAGCTTCCCCTGCCAGCAACAAGCAGGCACACTGGTTGTTAAGGTTTTCTTGGGGGCCAGTGACTTTCAGCAAATAAACATTTAAAATTGTCATAGAAATTACAGCAAAAAGATTGTCATCTGTCATTAGAGACATGAGACATTTCATGTTCCTCTTTTCTGTTTCTCTCAGTGCCAGAACCACAAAGCCAAAAAAAAAAAAAAAAAAAAAAAAGCTAGGAAAACAGACAACCTTGCTTTTGGAAAATGGCACTGAATGTTTACAGATTTGCGGCAGAGCAGGTCATAGCAAAAAACCCACCCGTTATCAGCACAAAGACTGCAAGTAGAACATTCATGGAGGATTCTCTGAAGAAAATATAACCTTCTCTTCCCTTTCAGCAAAATCTACAGGATGCCTCATATCTATTAATAAAATCTATAAAGATTTTATTTTAGGCAGTAGTAAAGAACTAAGAGTTTCATATCCCATGAGCACTAGATTCCAGTGGAAAAAAGTGTTCAGATTTAACTCCATATTCAGGAGGTGATTGCATTGCAGTTTTTTGCACCGTAAAAAAAAAAAAAAGAAAAAAAAAAAGGAAGAAAAAAATTGCTATTCTTCCTGAATACTGCCACACTGCAGCAACAAACATAAGAAGCACATGACCCCTCAAAGCATTTCACACTCTGCCCAGGGTCAATAAATTTCAGTATGCTGAGCCTTTGGATCTCCACTACCCTGGTTAAATTTATGTCACCATTATGGTAGCAAGAGTCTTTACCCTTTTACCCTTTCCTGAAGAAGAAAACAAGAGTGAGAAATGTAAGTCTTTAAAATTCTTCTGTATCACACACGGGGAAGAATTCTCATACTTAAAAAGAGTAAGGGTGAGGGGGGAAGAGTTCATGAAGGCTTCAAATGAAACATGGGACAGTACTAAAGGAGCCTTCTTGACTTCTCAAATAGTAACTCCCAGACTTAGATACCTCTCAAACATCTCTCCACTACAGCAGAGGTTTCTTAGGGGGCTCTAGACTCAAAGCACAGTGACGCTAAAAGCTACATTGCTCTGATGAACAAATACGTGTTGTTCTGTGGCAACTCTTGCAGTTTCTGTCAGTGCCATGCAAATACTAAACATTCCGTGATACAGCCTGCTCTGACACAGTAAAAGCAACTGAGGACTTTGGAAAATGACCACAAGAAGAGGAATACATAAATCCAGCAAAAAAAAGAAAAAAAAATGTAATCAGAAAACAGCACATACATGAACACTAGAAAGAAAGGTAATTTGACATGATACAATTTCATATAGCAAGAAATTCTTTCTGCTGCAATCTCAACCAAGTGCTTGAGAATAAAATGAAGAAATAGGGGGTGCAGTCGCATCCATAGACACAACATCTGACAGAAAAAGGGGCTCTGTACATGTCCTAAGCCACTGCAGGAGCATAAAACTCTCCATCCCCAGTTCTTTGTCAACACAACACCAAATACATATTAGTACAGCTTATAAAGCTGGATACTAATAATAATTACAAATGGCACAGATTTATGAAGAAAAGGCAGTGCTATCAATTAGGCTAGAAAGCCTGTCCTGCAGGAAAGATGAAGAAAGCAAGTAACTGGCATAACCCCCTGAATCACTACTGCCTTCCTTAACTGAAACTTCTACACAGTAAGTTATACACACAAAACAAAATGCCAAAAGCTCACCCAAATGAACTTTAATTTTCTCTTCACTAAAAACACATTTTGACAATCATTAGCAAATGAAAAGTAAACTAGAAGTATTCTGATTTCAGGGACAGTTACATTTTAGATTTTCTTTTAGTTCTTATTACCTGTATTATACCAAGCCAGTAGGAAGTCAAATTCTAAAGGTTTCTTTTCTTTCAAGGCCCAAAGTACCCTCTTATGTTTCTTACTATCAGGATGAAAGCTGGCATCCGTCAAGTCAACAGTTATAACTGAAAATAAATAAAAGCTAGTTTTATTCAGTGAAACTCAATTTTAATATTAAATGCCATAAGAACTAAACAAATGTAAAGAAACCAAAAAAAAAACACTCCTTTTGACATGTATAGCATCTTTACCAAGTATTTAATTAAGCAAATTTTGAAAATGAGCATTCTCGTCCTGCCATTCTTACTATGGCAGGGATAGATTCCTTTTGTGAAGGCAGTGACAGAAGACACAGAAGAGCAGCAAAAAGCTAAAACTTAAAATAAGAAAAGCCATGCATACGGCTACAACATTTTTTCAACAGTTTCTCCATATCATTTGGTTCCAGGCTAAAAGTTGCATTTATTTTCAAGATAAAATGTATGATAAAATTTCTATGTGACCAATTGAACAATAAAATTATATCCTGGTATACTACAATTATTTTTGTATGTAACAAGTTTCCTCTTCAAAATCTAATCTACTATTACTTTCAGAGTAGCGCAGGTTCCTTGAAATGGCAGTCAGTGTTTTTTTTTTAATTACTTAACAACAAGAAAAAAAACACGCAGTACATCTTCTCTCCATCTGCTAAAAAATATTTTCCTCTCAGTACATAGTATATTAAAGCTATCATTTTAAGTGTCAGATGTAATAGAATTCTCCCTCTCAGAAGAGGAATCTTGGATCAGCTTCTTTGCTGACTTTTTGTGGAATGCACAAGTTACAATCTTTATCTTTATTAGATTAGTATTTTCTGATTAAAATCAGAAGGTAAATATGCTGCACTCAGTATACAAAAATTTTTGACTCCTGCATCACTTCAGTATAAACAATACTTCTTGAAAAAAAGCAGAATTAAACGTTTTATTGTGCTTCCCATAAGATCACACACTCTTTTCCTTACAGCTACTTTGTTATTTTAAAAATTCATATCTTTTGTCACACAGACCTTTTATGTCTATCTGGAAAAATATCACCTACAAAATAATCAATTTTAACTATGGCTATTTTGACATCCTAATAAGGTACTTCACAGACAGATCTGAAGTAAGTGCTGTTAACATAAACAGTACTTACTATATCTCATTACTTTTTTGCCAGAATATTGAGAAGGGCGACCTTGCAGTCCAAGTTCTTCATAAGTATCTTTATCCACTGAGAGAATTAATTTTCCTACAAACAAAACAAGCCTTAACATAAATAATCTTCAACATAGCTTCCCTTCAAGTCTACTGAGAATGTTATACTTAACACAATGTTAGTTTGGGATCATTAGGTATTACCAATGCAATCCGAAGTCCCTTAGTTTCAGCTAAATTGATTACCAGATTAACCCTTAAAATGCCAAAATTCCATTTTTTTTGTTATCAAACATATCTTACAAACCACAATAAGTATAATATTATTCCTGAAATACAAACAGCTACCATTTCTTACTGTTGTCTCTTATCTATATTGCCCAAATCCTTCTTCCACTTGTCCTGTAGCATTTGCCATGTCATTTATTGAACATTGGATTAAACTAGGTCCCGATTTTGTGAATATTATTGCATGCACTGCACAACCACATATATATATAAAAAAAAGAGTATTTCCACCAACCCAATGGGACTGCTCACATGAGTGAAGATAAAAATTTGCTTATTGTTCTGGAGTGTATCTGCTTATCATTACTTCCACGGCTAGGTTCACGAACCTAAATCTGGCAGCTGCCACTCTGTACAGAACTTCCACACCGCCTTCTAAATACAAGTAATGGTAAAATACACAATACAAACAAATGATTTGAAACAGTGGCATCACTGGAATTCTAACACTGGCACATATTAAGTGTGCATATTTTATAAGAATTAGATCATACAAGTTTCCATGCTCCTAGACCTATGCAAATAAAGCACACAAAGGACTTCCTGCTCTGAAAAATCTGAGTTTATTGATGCCCTGATTAGCACCCGTGACTTTAGCAGTTTAGGCTAGACTGCTATTTATCAAATATAACAGGCCTGTTTAAGAAGCTGCAAAATAGCTCCATTATTTTATTTCCATGAAAAATCTTACCTGAAAAGTAATTTACAACAACATTTTGCTGTAAAACTCTGATGGAAATACAATACAGCATTTTAATATACTTCTCAAGTAGTTAACAACAGTTTCTAAAGAGAGCTGACATTATTAAAAGATGTGTTCTCTTTTTGAAAAAACTCTGCCTTTTAAGATCAGTAGGAAATAGTAGTGGAACAGAGCTGTAAGAAGAAATATTTTTCTGTAGCATCTGTAATGACAATTGAGGCACTGACAATCCAAGTCCAAATGAAATTAATTTTTACTTATCTTTCTATGAAATAAAATAACACTGTGAATCAAGCAACAAATTAAACAAAGTACACATGCATATTTTTAATAAAGTAGGCAAATATTACTATACTACATCATACCCACATCCATTCCCAATGAAAAAAACAAAGACTATAATCAATATATACATCTTATTTAAAAAAAAAATCATACCAGTTGGTAGCAGAGCTGCAGTATTATCTTGATCAATTCTTGTGTTATAGGTAAGCGCGTAGCATGAACCTTTAATAGAGAAGCACAAAACTGTGAGATTACACAGTCCCAAGAGAAAGATATGACAATGTGAGACTTAGCTCAAAGTAATGGAGCCTGCCAAATATCATTTAAATCACTCTTAACCTTTGTGTTGTAATTAAGGTTTCTTCTACCTTTTCAAACACAAAGGCATTTTGTTATTATCTTTATAAATCTTATATTGGCACTGTTTTAAAGGATCTGTAACACAGGTAACAGGAACAATAAATCCCAAACACAAAACACTATTTCCACCATTGACCTTTCTGATTTTGTAACTGTGGGAAAAAAAAAAGATAAAAAAAACTTTTTTCCATATACTTTTCAGCTATCAGCTCACCTAAAAATAAGGTAAAAGAGACTCATAATACCTATATAATAACACCTGTATTTTTTGTAGCAGTATATGCATAACCAATTTCCTCTGCAAAAAATCAAGAGCCTGGCCCTTTAAACTGGGCATACAAATAGGGCATTCTACTTCCATAAAACTACTAGCATAGCCTATTAATGAGACTAAACAGGAAGCCTAGTCCCACATTTAACAAGCATTATCTCTTATTCTCCCGTTTCTCTCATTTGTTCTTTTATCTCCTTTTTTAAGCTTTTTGTTCTCTGACAGTCATTTGAAGGGAACAACGTTTATCTTCAGCTAAATAAGCGGGCCCTAGTAGATGGAACGACTTGGTCGTGAGTGTTCAGTAAAGGCAAGTTGGCTGGGCAAAGGCTGCATCTTTCCTCACATCCACTTTGCTCTGACTGCTCCAGAAGACCCGCTACAACTCCATTAGAAACAAAAGCAGGGCTATGTTTTACAGCTCTCATGACTGGAACATGGCCATGCACCCATGCTTTAGGCTTTTCAGGAAGGACAGGCCAGGAAGGCAAGGTGGCGGAGTTGCTCTTTACATGAGAGAGCAACTGGAATTTATGGAGCTCATTGTAGGGGAGGAAAAAGTGGGTCAAGAGCCTGTGGGTGAGGATTAAAGGGCAAGACAACAGGGGCGACACTGTCGTGGGAGTTTAATACAGGCCTCCTGACCAGGGAGAGGAAGTGGATGGGGCCTTCTACAGGCAGCTGCAAGAAGCCTCACGATCCCAGGCCCTGGTCCTTATGGGGGACTTCAACCACCCTGATGTCTGCTGGGATAATCACACAGCTAGGAGCAGACAGTCCAGGAGGTTCCTGCAGAACACTGCAGATAACTTCTTGATACAGGTGGCTGATGAGCCAACAAGGGGAGGGGCGCTGCTAGACCTGATACTAACAAAGAGATGGTCTAGTGGGAAACGTGAAGGTTGGGGACAGTCTTGGCTGCAGTGATCACAAGATGGTGGAATCCACAATCCAGCAAGGAGGAAACTGGACAAGTCAGATTGCAACCCTGGACTTCAAGAGAGCTAACTTTGATCTCTTTAGGGAGCTCCTTGGAGGAATCCCCTGGGCAAGGGTCCTAGAAGGAAATGAGGCCCAGGAGAGTTGGCTACTACTGAAGCACCACTTTCTCCAAACTCAGGATTGGTGCATTCCTATAAGAAAGAAGTTGAGTAAGACAGGCAGGAGACTTGCATGGATGGAGCTGTTGGGTAAACTCAATGAGAAAAAGAGCATGTATGTAATATGGAAGAAGGGCCAGGCCACATGGGAAAAATATAGGAATATTGTCAAAGAATGCAGGGACGCAATGAGGAAGGCCAAGGCCCATTTGGAACTAGTCTTAGCGAGAGATGTCAGAGGCAACAGGAAGGGCTTCTACAAATACATCAGCAGCAAGAGGAAGACTAGGGAAAATGTTAGTCTGCTGCTGAATAGGGAGGGTGCCTTGGTGACGGAGGATGCAGAGAAGGCAGAGGCACTAAATGCCTTCTTTGCTTCTGTCTTTACTGTTAAGGCTAGTCCTCATGAACTACAGAGCCTGGAGACAAGAGAGAGAACCGTGAGAGACGGGGACTTTCCACTGGTCAAGGAGGATTGAGCTAGGGATTACTTAGGCAAACTGGACACCCATAAATCTATGCGCCTGGATGGGATATAGCGAAGAGTGCCGAGGGAACTGGCGGGGGTTATTGCTCAGCTGCTCTGCATCATCTTTGAGAGGCCATGGGAGAGCAGGGGTGGTGCAAGAGGGCTGGAAGAAACCAATGTCACTCCGATCTTCAAAAAAGGCAAGAGGGAGGAGCCGGGAAACTACAGGCTGGTCAGCCTCACCTCCCTAAACCTCCAACCCTGGAAAGGTGATGGAGCAGCTTATCCTAGAGACCATCTCTAGGTATGTGAAGGAAAGGAAGGTTATCAGGAGTAGCCAGCATGGATTCACAAAGGCGAAGTCGTGTCTGATGAACCTGACAGCCTTCCATGATGGGGTGACTGGCTGGATGGATGATGGCAGAGCTGTGGATGTTGTCTACCTTGACTTCAGCAAAGCTTTTGACAGTCTCCCATAACATCCTCATAAGAAAGCTCCAGAAGTGTGGACTGGATGAGTGGACAGTGGAGTGGATTGAGAACTGGCTGGATGGCACAGCCCACAGTGTGGTGATAAATGGGGCTGAGTCTAGTTAGAAGCCTGTGGCCAGTGGTGTCCCACAGGGGTCAGTACTGGGCCTGGTGCTCTTCAACTTGTTCATCAATGATTTGGACGAGGGCACAGAGTGCACCCTGAGCAAGTTTGCAGATGACATCAAACTGGGAGGAGTGGCCGACACTTCCAAGGGCTGTGCTGCCATTCAGAGAGACACAGGCAGGCTGGAGAGGTCGGGAGAGAGGA